AAAAACGCCCATGATGGATTCAAATACAGGATGTATTGATACGTTATAGCGTCGCTTCAGTATATAGATACAGGATATACTTATCAGTCAAATACAGAACATTTATCACAACCGGCGATGTGTAAATTTGAGCACAAGCGGCGGTGCCGCCACTCGTGCCTCATTATGTACATAAGAGAACCCTGCAGATTACTGGTGGCAAACACTTTCACAAGAGTGAAGGTGATGTTGTACAGATCGTATTCGTGAATATTCTTAATTCTTACACAGATAGATGAAAGTGACTTATTACACTTCACAGTGCTCCACTTATGTAAAGTAAGGGGATTGCTGGGAGCAGACGTTGTCGCCCATCTTTCATGTCTAGTAGATTAGACCTACTATTCATCACACTGGCCACATTGTAACGACTTACCAAACGCTGGTCCATTTTCAAATATCAAATATTTATGATCTCTATTCCTAGCAGTGAACTAAGAGTATGCTAAGCACTGACCAAAGAGGAACACAAGTGAGATTGATGGGAGCGATGATTTCTACGTTGCTCAATATTTTAGTATTAATTAAGTGATGGTCACGATCATCGATTATACTCTCTCATCGCCGTAACAGTGGCCTTGAACCAGCGCTTGCGTGTGTATCAAAAGTGCCATAATCGATTCTCATAAAAACAAAAAATATTTAAAAAAAATCGAAATTAAGGATGTAAAACTTGAACAAGAAAACTTGCGAAAGTGTATGAGAATCAGCAGTATCATCGCCTACTATACAGTTATCGTCTTTATTAACATACATGTAGTTATACACACGAGTAGTAACAGTGCAAAACAACGTAAACAGGTAAACAGCGCACATACATGCCACACACGTAACCATGACATGACGGTTACGCCACGCAGGCATTCAACACCGCAGTAACCGATTGCTAACCGATATCGGTTACTTGGCCGGTCCAACGGCACGATGATCGACTACGAAATTACAACGATTGACAACACTAGTATTAATGCCAATGGTTAAAAGGTACAATTTACAATCCTGTACCGTTTTGAGAAGACACACTCACAGTCCTGATATCATGTGCATTGGTGCGCGTCACGTACATGCAGGTAGCAGAAGCGCGCATGTAAGCACGGTTGATCTGCCCGCCAACTCAGAAGCACATGCCTCGACTTATTGTGATACACACCACTTGGCCATGATCACTCGGCGTATGATTTTCCTATTGCGTTTATCGTCCGGGGGGTATTTTCACCCTACCAAGAATGAGAAACTGACAAGTATGTTGTTCCTTCACCTGCCACAAAGGCGAATATGAGCAGAGGAATGGTTCGAATGAGACAAAATACAAAGTCAATTTGTATTACACAATGACATTTCTAATGAACATGCATAGCATATTTAAAAGTTATTCTTGGCGACTAACATGTCGTAAGAACATTTCGCTAACCGTCGTAGAATCCGAATACGTCATCAAACGAGATGCATTTATTGTGTGGCGGTTGCCAAGTTCAACGCGATTGTTTGCTATATGACAGAATGTGGCCTGCAATATTTTCTACTTTATATACCATAACAAGTCATACAACTACGATGGTAATTTTTATACTAGAGTAATCAGTAACACATTCGCTGATTTAGGTTAACTATACTTCGCTAGCTTCTGTTCTCTTCGATTGTGGCATGTTTTTATGAAATAACCCTTTACAGGTGCCACTGAATAAGAGGGCAAATGTAAGCTACAACTGCGCCGATATAAGACAAATCTGGGTATCTTATTACTAATCTAATCTCAGTAAGAGAAGAAACACGTCCAGCTCAGAACGTGGTATTTCCAAAGGTTGTGATAAACTCATATTAACTACGAAAGAAAAAAAAAGGTTCTCAACCTCCTATCTTCATGGTACCTACACTCAACAAAAACTTTACAGCAATATTTCAAATTAGATTGAATCACATAAGAGCTTTTCAGAAAAAAAGTTACTCACCAACAATACCTTCTGCAACATAAATCCAACTTAAAAATGACCGGGAATACATAAAGTAATATCGTCATATTAAAAAATAAACCACCATTTTTGCCAGATAAATTACTGAACGCAAGAGAAAATTCCTATTACTACATGCACTGAGATATGCAACACGGCTTAACGTCTTTTATAGCAAGATAGGCCCTGCAAATGGTAAAAAATATTCAATTACTATTGGCAGGATTTACACTAAATATCTCCCCTGCCCAATCATAAAAAGCTTCTGTTCTTAAACATTGGTCTGTGAAGAAATACTGATTATAATAACAAGTGCGCAGCAGCCGACCAGTGTCTCATCTGAGGTTCTGCCTGCCTCTACTCTACTGGCCTTTGTTCTGAACTGACACAGCATTGGAAAGCTGTTCATCGCATAAACCGGCTACTTTTGCTCGATGCAAAGAAGCTGCCTTCTGCACTAAAGAGGGGTATTAACACCTAAAACATCACAACCCTAAAGGGCCCCCGTCTCCACAAGGCGCGGCCGGCGGCGGGAACGCACGGAAACCGGCGTCGTTCACCGCATACGCGCGCAAAAGTTCAATCTATTATATCTTATAGCAGCAGTCCCCTGACAAGCACGGGAGCAGCCGGGTTATCACGACGACGCGCGAAAGTCAATGAGTGTTGACTTTTGCGGCTGAACGCTGGACGGTGAAACACAATTTGAACAATCAACGCGATTGCTTTTTTTATCACATGTTCTGATCACGCTTACCATCAGCCAATGACAACAAGCACATGCCCGATTAATTTCTATCATCACTGAACCGAGAGTGAACACAATGCCGCTCGACACAATTGCGCGAAATCACAACGTATTTTTTTTTCAGCACAACGGCGCTGCGTGTTTCGCCTGTGTCGTTACGCGGTGATTATTAGCTGAGCATTGTTGAAGTGCGGTGTTTATTCCTTGTTCGTGTGCTGTCTCAGGAGTTAGTAATATGTGATTCCCGAGAATTATGTAAAGCCTAACGTGATTCGTGGTGATAGTTGCAATACAAATGTATTGCTATATATTTATTTCTCAAAACGGCAGCCATTACTACAGGACACTAGGCATTTACCTGCTGGACAATAGCTCGCCTAAAGCTTTGAATAATAATAATAGTAAAAAAAAATTAATTTTTTCCAATTTTTAACTTTTTAAAAATTGTTTAATGAATGTAGTAAAATATTTGTTTACATTTTGAAACGCTGAAGTGCCAGAAGTAGATACTAAAGAGTAAAAAAGTAAGGGAGAAATTTTTTTTCCCCAGCTGAGATTCAAACCCGGAATCTGGGGTTATGAAACCGAGCTCCTACCGACTACGCTACGGCGGCGGGCAAGACACGTGAAATAATTCCCACGTACGCGGTGATTGAATTTTGACTTAATACAATTTTTTTTTTACTTTTTAAATTTTTTAAATTTTTGTCTCGGCCAGAACCATCTGCAAGACGTGGTGATTCTGAATATATCTTCAGTTAGCGCGATTGAATGAAAAATCACGGAGAAAAGCGAGATCAAACAAACACACACACACACACACACACACACACACACTGACACACAAGATTAGCCTCATTATAGTATAGATTATAGAGTACTAGTACAAGCACTACATTTCCGAGACACTTACTAGCTGATTGTCATCTGCCACTACTGTAGTCGATTTTAACACGCAGCTACACCGAATGTTATTGTACACGTACCTTGCCGTTGGGAGTGCTCTTTGCGAAAAATCAATATGAAAGCTATGAAAGCAAATTTGACACAGTACGTGACACAGATGTAAGCGAGGCGTTTTCCCCCCTAATGCGATACATTGTGGCCAATCGAGTTGACTCTGACTTCGTTAAATGGATATTTGCTGCAACTGAACCGAGAATGACAATTTGATTGACGGTAGAATTCTCAAGTGCATACTCGTTGAATTGCGACTCGGTTAACATATATTATACAGTTAACATGCATACTCGTGTTTCGATGGAATTTTTTTAGTCGTCCATAGTCTGAGGTTGAAAAAAACACATTGTGATGTGAGCGTTTGCTAATATATGTTCAAAGATGTAGTTTGTAGGTGGTCGACTAAAAAGAAGTGGAGAAGGGAGAGAACGGAGGTAGGAGTGGGGAGGGGGAGAAGACGTAGAGAGAAGGAGCGGGAGAGAAGTGACAGAGAGAGTGAGGAAGTAAGAAAGAATATTTCTGTAACATTTTCAAGCAATTCATTTGTTGTTGTGTGGCCTATCTATAGAATGTTAAAGAACAACATTGCAGGGCGCGAAATTATCCTTTTTTTCTGGTAGTTACACAGACTGCTAGATTTTGTAATCTGGTAGTCCATGAGAATTTCTGGTAGTTCAGAATTTTGGAATAGGAGAAGGAAGATCTATTTAACTCTAATCTTCCAATTAGAAACATTTACAATTAAATTAAAGGCTTTCAAATAGACACAAAAGACAAATAGATTTCTCATAGATACCAAGCATAGTTGCACTGAATTTTGATGTATTGTTCATTCTTTATAGTTGTTACCTTCCTGACTGTTTTAACTTTTAGATACATTTATTGAACGTTTTAATAGGAACGTTCGCATTCCTAAATGCTTTGTGGGCAAAGATTTTTGCAAGTTGTTAAAACTTTAATGTAATATGAACATATTGTATTAATGAAGTTCTTATGAAATAATAAATCCCAAGTACAGCAAACTGGCTTTTACTAAATGTGAAAGTTCAATATTTATTCAAGGAAATCGTTGATAGCACGAAATTCTCTGCCTATCCTAGGAATTTCAACTACTTTTAAAACCTGTCAAACTTGAATGCTGTTCTCCACTCTGATTTGCATTTACAGAGGTGTCATGTTTCCTTTGTGTGCACAAATTTACTATATATGTAAAGCATGTGCCTTGAAAGGGTAATTGATAATCACTAGCCCATTGTGTGATTTTGTGAACATTGCAAGATGAGTTTCATCATGTCTTTTTGCAGATAGAGAAGTTGGTGGATAAAGAAACATATGACAGGTACATAAAGTCTAAGTTTGAATACGAGGTGGAATTGGATCCTCATCGGACATTCTGCCCTGGACCTGACTGTGAGACTGTGTGTCATGTGTGTCCGGCAGAACCGAAGACGGCAAAGGCTGTCAACTGTCCCTCGGTGAGTTGCGTAGCATGTCAGAGGTTATGATGAAGTATCGTTCAATAGATGATGTGTTAGAGATTGACATGGAATTCTGTGGTGGATGAATTAAGCATAATAGTAGCAGCAGTAGTGGTCGTGGCAGCAGTAGTAACAGTAGTAGCAGTAGTAGCAGTAGTGGTCGTGGCAGCAGTAGTAGCAGTAGTAGCAGTAGTGGTTGTGGCAGCAGTAGTAGCAGTAGTAGCAGTAGTAGCAGTAGTGGTTGTGGCAGCAGTAGTAGCAGTAGTAGCAGTAGTGGTCGTGGCAGCAGTAGTAGCAGTAGTAGCAGTAGTAGCAGTAGTAGCAGTAGTGGTCGTGGCAGCAGTAGTAGCAGTAGTAGCAGTAGTGGTCGTGGCAGCAGTAGTAGCAGTAGTAGCAGTAGTGGTCGTGGCAGCAGTAGTAGCAGTAGTAGCAGCAGCAGCAGTAGTAGCAGCAGCAGCATTGGCGACAGCAGCAGCTGTAGCAGCAGTAGCAGCAGCCATAGCAGCAGCATTTTGCGACAGCAGCGGTAGCAGCAGTAGCAGCAGCAGTGGCGACAGCAGCAGTAGCAGCAGCTGTAGCAGCAGCAGTGGCGACAGCAGCAGTAGCAGCAGCCGTAGCAGCAGCATTTTGCGACAGCAGCTGTAGCAGCAGTAGCAGCAGCAGTGGCGACAGCAGCAGTAGCAGCAGCCGTAGCAGCAGCAGTGGCGACAGCAGCCGTAGCAGCAGCAGTAGCAGCAGCCGTAGCAGCAGCAGTGGCGACAGCAGCAGTAGCAGCAGCAGTAGCAGCAGCCGTAGCAGCAGCAGTGGCGACAGCAGCAGTAGCAGCCATAGCAGCAGCCGTAGCAGCAGCCGTAGCAGCAGCAGTAGGAGATCAGCTGAGTATAGTATATAGCGCTACTCGTGCGTGTGTTGGATGAGTGCCTAGCAATAGATAATAAGTGTCGATGTTCCCCGGCCCTCGGCGATAATTATGCTGCTTCTTTTTTGCAGTGCGGACTACACTTCTGCTCAATGTGTAAATCACAGTGGCACGGGAAACTCAGCTGTGATGATAACCAAACCAAACTAGGCCTAACCAACGGGTACGTTACCGGCACGCGCACGTACACTAATCTGCTAAATTCCACTTACTATAGTTGGCAGACGGTGCTAACATGGAAGGAACGAATGAATTGCACTTTATATTAAATTTCAGGTTCAATCTGCAGCGCGAGTAGTGAACGCTGATGGAAGATAAGTCTAATGTAGCCACACTAGTAGAGCAAAGTCAATAATGGCCACTCTGCCCGACATAATGTTTGATAAAATAACGCAGGGAAATTAAAGCGGGATCTGCTGACGTCAAGAAGAAGGTGTAATCACTGATGACATTATGAAAACTTAATGAACACTAGGTATATCTCCTCTTTTGCACAAATAGTTTGCAGAGAGTGATTAGGAAACCATTATGAAAAGATCTACCCATTTTGGGAGCTTGTTTTTTATTATTAAAATTTTAAGGAGCAAGTGTGAAAAAGTAGCTCCTTAATACTCGGTTAAAGCCAAAGTTTATATGCGTTTCTATTCACACGCCGTTGTGCTATACCACTAAAGTTGACAGCATGGTTGCTGGTGATTGGTAATTGATGATTGATTGATGATTGTCGATTATTTTGATCATGTTTAGAGTGAACTAATTCAAGAAACTTGATTCAGCTCTACAAAGACAAGAAACAAAGACAACTAGATCATTCGTTCCAATTTGTTGCCGATAGGTTTAATTACATGCCTTTGTCATAAAATACTATCGTAATATACTATGACTAAAATATACTTGTGATAAAAAAAAAATGTCAATGGAATTACTGTAGTTATGGATGTTTATTGACTATCATTAATTACCAGGCGTTTTTTTCCAATATATAATTACTCCTCGATGTTAGTACATTCTCGATCGTTCAACCCCGGATTTATCGTGAAACGAGACTGCTCTCTGTTTGTCTGACTTGGGTTGGGCCACCTTTAAAAAATTGTTTGTTTCCCCTTTAAGGCTCAGGGTACCGAGTAGGTAGGTAGGTAGGCAAAAACTTTTTTATTTTGTTTTGACAAGATGTGTGTATGTATCTTGTATATTCTGTTTTGTGTATGTTTTTGCAGAACAAATTTGATTTTTTTTTTTGGCAAAACGAAATAATTTTTGTTTTGTTTTAATCGGCCAATAAAATGTGTCGAGTAGCGGCGTTTTGGCGAGTCGGACGATAAAGGGGAAACAAGCAATATTTTATCTTAGGCCTTGTCTCTGTTACAGGTTGGCATTGTCGAGCAGGGGAGATGATAGTGCCCTTATCAAGCGCTGTCCGCTCTGCCACGTGCCGATCGAGCGTGACGAGGGATGTGCACAGATGATGTGCAGACGCTGCAAGCACGTCTTCTGCTGGTACTGCCTCGCCTCGCTCGACGTAAGTACGCTTCTAAATATGACTCAAGTACGACTTTAACTATGACGTATGTATGCTTCTAACTATAACTCAAGTACAACTTTAACTATGACGTATGTATGCTTCTAACTATAACATATGTACGACTTTAACTATGACGTATGTATGCTTCTAACTATGACATATGTAGCCGAACTTTTAACTATAGACGTATAGATCCTATCTGAACTATGAACTTAGTACGACTTTAAACTAATACGTAGTATTGGCTCTAGACTATGACTGCAAGTACGACTTTAACAAAACGTATGTATGCGCCTAACTATTACATATTACAGCCTTTAACTATGACGTATGTACGCTTCAACTAATAACTCAAAAGTACAACTTTAACCTATGACGTAATGTAGACTCTAACATGACATATGTACGACGTCAAACTATGACGTAATGTATAGCTCTCAACTATGACATATTACGACTTGTGAAACTAAAGAGTAAGTAATGCTTCTAACTAGAAACGTATTACGACTTTAACTATGACGTATGCGTAAATGCTTTCGTAACTATTGACATATAGTACGCACTTTAAACTATACGTAATGTATGCCTTGCTAACTATACATAGCGCTACGACTTTAAACTATGACGATATATTGCCTTCTACACTATGAAACATATGATACGACTTTAATAGACGTATGTATGCTTCTAACTATGACATATGATCGATCTTTAACTATAGACGTAATTGATGACTTCTAACTAATACGTAAATTGTACGACTTAACTATGACTAATGATACGCTCTAACTATGCAACAAGACGAACTTAACTATCGACGTAATGTATGACTTTCCTAACTATGACTGAAGTACACTTAACTATGACGTACATGTAGCTTCTAACTATGAACATAGTGTAAACGACTTAACTTATGAGCGTAATGTACGCTTCTAACTATATTACTCAAGAGTACAACTTAACTATTGACGTATGTTGCCTGTCTAACTATGACATAATTAACGACTTAACCTATGACGTAATGTATTGTCTCAACTATGACATATGTACGACTTTAAACTATACAGTATCATTATCAATCTAACTAATGACATAATGTACGACTTAACTAAGACATATGTATAGCTTCTAACTATCGACTCAAAGTACTGACTTTAAACTATGACTTATGTACGCTTCTAACTAGACCAATAATATACAGAGATTTTTATTAGTATATTATAATTTATAACATGACGTATGTAAGTCATTCTAAAAACTATGACCAATACGACTATTAACCTATGACGAATGTATGCAGCTTCTAACTATGACGTATTACCGCTTCAACTATCAGACATATTATCGATTTAACTAATACACTTAGTATGCGTCTAACATGACTCAAGTACGACTTTAAACGTATGACTATTACGCGTTCAACTATTGACAATATTACGACTTACTATGACGTAATGTATGCATTCATATACATGACTCAAGTAGCAGACTCTAACCTATGACGTATGTAAGCATTCTACACTATGAACTCAAGTACACCTTTTAAGCTAGTGACGTATGTATACTTCAACTATTACTCAATAGACGAACTTTAACTATGAACGTATATGACCTTCTAACATATGACTCAAGTACGACTTTAAACTATGACGTATGTATCTCTAACTATACTAGAAGTACGAATTTAACTAGACATATGTAGGCTTCTAACTACGACTCCAAAAAAAATAATTACGACTTTAACATGACGTATGTACAAACTTCGTAACTATGACTGCAAAGTACGAACATTAACTTATGACGTAATGTTACGACTTCTAAAATAGACTCAATTATGACTATTAACTAAAATGACGTAGTAGCTTCTAACTATGACTCAAGTACGACTTAATAACTATGACAGATGTATTTCTTCTAAAGACTCAGTACTGACTTACTAATGACGTTATGTACCTTCTAACTATAAACTCAAGTATACAACCTTTAACTATAAGACGTAGTATTCTTCTAACTATGAACTCAAGTAGCGACATATAACTATGACGTAACATTGGACGCTCTAACTATACGAAAGTAACGTCTGTCACTATTACATCAAGTCAGACATTAACATGAACGTAACAAATTACGCTTTCTAATATGACGATATGACGACTTTCTAACTAGACTTTAAGTACGACTTTAACTAATGACGTAATAGTAACGGCTTCTAACTATGACGTACATGTACGCTTCTAACTATGACGTATGTACGCTTCTAACTATGATGCAAGCACGTCTTCTGCTGGTACTGCCTCGCCTCGCTCGACATAAGTACGCTTCTAATTATGACGCAATTTTGTCAAATTTGTCATTATTAACCCCTGGTATAAGTATGTACGTGAGTTCGACATGGTTAGGAGAAAGCACGAGCAGGTATGTGAGTATGACGTATGTATAAGCAAGTACGGAACTACGATGTAAGTGTAAGTATGGTGTAAGTCTACGATGTAAGTGTAAGTATGGTGTAAGTACTAGTATGCAGAGGGGCACACTACACAGGTTTTTGCTTGAATGAGGTTTTATTTCACGGATGTTTCATTAGAATAAATGCTCACACCACTCTGTATTTATGCATTCCAAGTGCCCACTTATTAAACTAGGGAATTGTGCAAAATGACAAGTAAACCTCAGTGCCATGCGTGGTTACCATTGAACACGAACAATGAGCAGTGACGCACTGTGATATATGTAAACAGCGTTACAGAGATTGTTTTTGTTTCCGAATATCAGATGAAGGTAAACGTTGTTCTATCCACTCGGGTACGCCTGCTGACGTCGTGGCTAAACTTGTGCGTGTGTGCGCGCGTGCGTGCGTGCGCGCGTGCGTGCGTGCGCGTGCGCGTGCATGTGTGTGCGTGCGCGTGCGTGCGTGTGTGCGTGTGTATGTGCATGCGTGCGTGCATGAGTGTGTGGCCCTGGCTTTAAGTAGTGGTTATTGGATATTTTCATTCTTATGCTCAGCTACATCTTGTGTTAGTGTTCATACAGGGGCGTGTACAGGGGGGGTGTCCAGGGGGTCCGGACTCCCCCCCCCTGCTATAAGGGGTCTAATTTCAAAAAATTTCTGGGGGAGGGCCCCCCAGACCACCCCTTCGCGTGCTCGCAATTTGGGTTACGGTTAAACCTCCCCTGGTCCAAATCCTGTACACGCCCACGTCATATGCTAGCCTCTGATATTACATAATAGTAGTGATGCTACCTTATAGATGTAGCACTTAACAGTTCCACAGCTCTCCTGTCATAAGCCTTTTGCATGGTCTATGGTCACTGTACCTTGCACTACTCTAGATTGGTATTATTTACCTTTGTGCGGGCTTACCGGTCATTGCAAGCTAGTACGTGCGGTTATTATTTGCGTACGTTTCATTTTCAACGGCTAATTTACGTTCTAATCAATAGGCATCTGTCAGCTGCAACCCCTGCTATTTTGTGCTTGCAGGACGACTTCTTATTGCGGCACTATGACAAAGGACCGTGTAAGAACAAGCTAGGTCATTCCCGTGCGTCTGTCATCCTGCATCGTGCCCAGGTACGAATGATTGACAGTAATGATACGAAGTCAGTCTGACACGTTCTTTATTCGCGCTATTTGTCAAAGCTGCTTTGTGACAACATCAAACATTGTGTTCACAAGCGTTCTGATAACAGTTGTTGTTTTCTATTAGAGAGTCTTAATCATGAGAAGAAAACAGAGACTGTTTTTCCCCACCATGCACGCTCTGTGTATGTGTCTGTGTGAGTGTTCTCTCTCCGTTGAATGGCGCGCTTTCATCACTAGACTTGGTCTGTCGCTGTTATAACTAATTTAGGCTGCATGAGTCGAGCCGGTTTAGAAGCCGGCCTTAACTAATGCTGGCCACTTGATATCTTATTCGTGATAGTATAACACGAATATCAGTAAAGAAGAAAGAACGAGTACGGGCTGTAACGAAACTAATTTAATCTCAATCATAATGCATAAATGGTTCGTATGTATGCCCTCGTCGGAAAGCAGTTTCAACGTTAGCAAACGATGCCTTACTGTCCTTGGATGAATCCTCCATAAAGATAATTGTGATAATTGTTGAAGCTCTGAGAGATTATTCTGCAATAGAATCGCTTTGCGACGGCTCCTTCACAATGAGCGTGAAACCGGCGGGGGTTTCCGGCATGCGCGGGCATCCAGCATCCGGGGGTTTCCGCGCGGTCGCTGGTGGGTGGGCGCGCGATCGCGGTTATGATTTGGTGCGTGACGCTGTACGCGCTCGCGTACACAGTCAGAGATGCCTACCACTACGATTTATCCGTATTTTATACGAATTTCTATTCCTTTTGCACCACTACGACCAGTTTGTATCAAACTACGAATTTCACTGTGATCGCAAAAAAAAACATTTTTTTGTCAATTATTGTCATTTTTTGTCAATTTATTGTCATTTTTGACCCTCAGAATGCAGGAAATTGCATCTCAGAATCAAAAAATTTTCCGGGGGCATGCCGGACCCCCTTAGCAAACTCGGGTCACTACGTGACCCTCAAACTACTAATTTGATGGCCAGAAACTACAGATTGCTTCAAATATGTGTTGGCATCTTCTATTGCCCACTTCACTGGTGAATCGGTGAATTCCGTACAACGCGCGCAATTCAAGTGACATGGCGCAATATCGCGCGACTCCAACGACGGATCGCAGACTGGTAGAAACGAAAGTAAATATTACGGGGTTCGTTGAAATTCGTTTTCCGAAAATCCAGCTCGAATAAGCCATAGTCTGCACAGTGGTGTGTTTTTGTGTGGCAGACGATGAAACGATACGCGTACAGTTGCCGTACACCCCTGGTTCCCAACCGGGGGTACTAGTACCCCATGGGGGTACCAGCGAACACCACAGGGGGTACCTGGGAAGCCTCTTAGACAATTTAAAAAACATAACAATACATCAGTGTTGGTTCTTCATTTTGCTTATGGTGGGCGAAGGGGTACCAGGAGATAGCGTAAAAAAATTAGGGGTACGGGGAGTCCAAAAGGTTGGGAACCACTACCGTACACGCTCCTCCTCTATTGTAGGTCGTTGGAATATTTGCTGGTTTCGGCGTCCTGCTTCTTGTCGCTTCACCGTTCCTGTTGCTGGCGGCACCCTGTATATTGTGCTGCAAGTGTAAGGTGAGCCAACGGACCATCGTGCATGCCTAATTATGCTCTATTCTAGCTTTCTTCTGTCGCTCTCTCTCGCTCTCTCTCTCGCT